CTAATTATGTTCCCAGACGACGACAATGGAGACCAACGGCAACAACCATCCTATCAGGCAAACAAACAGACCATTATAGTCTTTTCAAAACGAAACCAGAATGGAAACCCAGTTTGTGGTGTCTCGACCACACCGCACACAGCGTACTGTGATTTATATGTCTACCCTTATCGCAATCGCAAGAAAATATTGCACACGATTTGTTTATTTTTGGTTTGCTTTTCAATCTTTTATCGATATTCTTGTTTTCTTGTTGTACATTAAATACAATAGAAAAAACTAGTAAGCAAAAAAAAACAACAACTTAAAGAAGAAAACATAAGACAACAACAACAGCAGGGGCAAAATAGAAGAAGATACACGAATAACAGCAAGCAGCAGCGGGGCAACAGCAATGAACACCACAACAAAATGTTAAAATGTCGTGCAGACGACAGAGTTCATTTGTTTTTTGTTTTTGGTTCGAACAACTATTCTCAACTCAAACCCATTTCAGCGATTCATTCGCAGTGGATGATGTGATAGAATAGAATGTGGTGGCTACTTTCTTGTTGTCGTTTTTGTCTATAGACAGTCTACTGCCGTCTGTTGTCCATTGTCAAAAAAAGCGCCACTAGTAAAACAAAGAATATTAAAAAAAAAACAACAACAATTTCAAATAAAAAGTGTTTGTCGGTACGCGCGGTAGTGCATTGTGGTGTTGTGCTGTGAGTTAAAACGAAAAAAAACACGAGAAAGTATTCTAGCCGTCGATTTGAAAAAAGAGACGATAAGCGAAAGAAAAATGTACGTAATAAATAAATTGTAACATTTTATTGTTATTGTAATGCAATAAAAAGAAATCAATCAAATTGTATATTTGCTATAAACTCAAAAAAGAAATTAATTATATTTGAGTAGAAAGCCTAGAAACAATAACAACAAAACAAAGCTCCATTCGTTTCATAGAGTTGTACTGTGAGAGAGACTCAAAGAGAGAGAGAGCGAGGGAAACAGACATGGTGGAGACTAAAACAGAGTTGTACAAGAACAATACGAGTTGGTTGTTTGGTCTTGTTTACGGTACAGTGGGTGTTTTATAAATGAGAGATGGATGCAGAGAGAAAGAGAGAGTTAGTACATGTGCTGTGTGCGTGTGTGTGCGAGAATGTGTGTCCCTTCCATGTGCAAATTATAATCAGTATTAACTATTGTGAATGATTGACCATTCAAATATGGGCAAATATTGACAAGTTATAAATGAAATAAACTTTGTTGCTGTTTTGAATTTAATGAAATTAAAGGAATTAATGAATAAAGAAAATTTTCTAAAGTATTTAGAAAAAAACCTGTGCTCTTGTTATATGTTCATTTTCTTCGAGTTATATTGCTCTCTTCGAATATTCCTTTGTAGTTTATTGAATAAACCACTACCATGTTACCATTGTTGACCATCTGACCATTCATCCCAAAAACAATTCAACTGAAATTTTTTTAGTAATAATAGAGATAATTTTGTGATATATTGCTAATTTTAAGCTTTTGGAGTAGCTTTTGCAATCGTTAATTAAAAATAAATTGAAAAAAATTAGAAAAAATATCACCTTTATTGACTTGGTAACAATGTTTGTTGTCCCCAGAATTCTTTCGTCACTTCTGCCGTTTGGGCTTAACATATTTTTAAAATTCACAGACGATAGCATGATAACGTTGTTGTGCGTTGTGAGCATTCGTGTAAGTGAGTGACATCAGGTGGCCAACAAATCTAGACAAGTAAATACATATTAAGTTAGAATAGCCATGCCAATTGTACAGTGGGTCAAAAAAGAAAGAAAAAAATACTCATTTGAAATAAAATAAATTAATGAAGTAATAAATTAATGAATTTGAAAGACCATGTTCGGCAATGTTGTCATCCACTTGATCTTTCCATCTAATTTGTAGTCTTCCCTTTCTGTGTGAGCCATCAGTTGGCTCGCTTTTATATGCCTTTTGTGCTGGGGCATCCTCATCCATTCTCAAAACATGACCTATGCCGATGTCCGAGAATAGATGGTGCAGCTCATAGTTCATTCGACGACGATATTCACCGTCGACGCACATTGGCCCGTAGATCTATCGGAATTTTTGTTTATCGAACACTTTAATATCTGCTTCCTCTGCTTGGTCAATTATCCATGATTCAGATCTATATATTCGCACGGGTAGTGTGTTGTAGAGTGTGAGTTTGTTCTGGCAAGTGGTGGAATTGCTTACTCAGACCATAGTGGCATCTGTTGGCCAACACTATTCTCCTCCGAATTTTAAATCTGATGTTATTAGTTTTGTTTATGGCGGTATCGAAGTATATGAAATCTTCGACTACCTCGAAGCTGTAGTTCCGAATGGGCTGTCGAATGCGGTTTGGTAGTCGACAAAACGGTGGAATGTGTCGATATATTTTTCGTTGGCCTTTTCCAGGATTTGGCGCACGGTGAAAATTTGGTCTATAGTGGATTTGCCAGGTCTGAAGCCGCATTAGTATGGTTCAATAATGTCACTTTAAATGCTATCCAGCATATACTTACCTCCATGAGGTATGTATTAAAATTCGGATGAGTCTATTCTAAGGCTGTATCATTGTAAAATTTCTGTCGAATTACAGCCACTAGGCGCGAAAAAAGTTGGCATAAATATTCAAAATTGAGCGGTACAGTTATGTGAGTGGATCTATATTTAATTTGTCTGTGACGTATTTTTTCGATCCACCAAAAAATAGCAAATAACAGCCACTTCGGTTGAAAAATGAGCATAAGGCCATAAAAATATTTAAAATGGGCCTCGCAGTAATACGTTTATTTACCCACCAAAGAATCCGGAATACCAAACTACAACTTCGTTGGTTTGAAAATGAGGCGACAAATTTCAAAATACGGAAATGGAACAATATTTAGAGGCATTACAAGAACGTGGACCTTGTTTGAAAATTTCCTGTGAAGAAATTTTTATCTACCAAGAACCTGGAATGCCAAATTACAGCCCCTTCCGTTGGAATTCAAAATTCCGAAAATGGAGAGTTAGCATTATATGGAGGCTATACTAAAACCAGGCCCTTTAATACCGAACGAGAATTCAGACAAGCTGACAGTTGTCGTGTGACCTTTTTAACATCCAGCTGGAAAAGGTCATTCGAGAGGCAGAAGTGAACAGAAATGGCACTCGGTACACCAAACACTCGCCTACGCCGATGACATCGACATAATGGGTCGAAAATTGCGAGAGGTAACAGCCGCCTTTGAGCAAAGTGAAAAGGAGTCTGCCAAAGTGGGTCTGGCAGTAAACGGCGAGACCAAGCTGATGGTATCAACGCGCAAGACTTCCAGTAGACTCGCATCAATTGTGGAACCTGGAAACTACAGCTTCGAGGTAGTCAAAGATTTTATATACCTTGGTACCACCATAAACAAAACGAATGACATCAGTTTTGAAATTCGGAGAAGGATAGTGATGGCCAACAGATGCTATGGTCTGAGCAAACAACTCCAAAGCAAGGCCACCTACCGCCAGACCAAACTCATACTCTACAAGACGCTGATACTACCCGTGCTGTTATATGGATCTGAAGCATGGGTACATTCGCAAGCTGATGAGATGAGCTCTTGGAGTGTTTGAGAGAAAAATTCTCCGAAACATCTATGGGCCGATCTGCGTTGACGGTGAATATCGCCGTCGAATGAACAATGAGTTGTAATCTCGGACATCGACATTGTTAGACGTATTGAGCTGCAGGGACTACGTTGGCTATGTCATGTTGTGGGAATGCATGAAGATGCCCCAGCCCATAAGGCATATAAAAGCGAACCAGCTGATGGTTCACGCAGAAGGCCACGAATAAGATGGAAAAATCAAATGGAATCAGAAGTTGGCATTCCTGTTTACCATTTTTACTCGGTCAAATTTCTCGAATAAAAACTTTACTAAGAGAACGCCATTTTGTTTCTTGCTCTCTTAAATTTGATTGAATGTTTTAAAAGTTTTGTGGGATCAGGAACGGTTTTTGAGTAAAAAGTTGCAAAACCTGTACAAAATAGTAGAAACTTTCAGGTTCTGTAATGGAACTATATATTTTTATATGTATGTCTTTAAAATACAAAAAATAACGGCTGGGTCTCAGTTGATGGTTCCGAAAGAGTAAAAAACGACGCTTGTTATTCTGGGCACTCTCAAACATGTCACTGACGACCCTTGTAAACTATTTTTTAAGAAGCCAAACATACGTACACTTACTCTCCTCTTGCCAATTAAGGAAATTCCATTGATTTTAATTACTTTTCCAATTTTATATTTTAACATAAAATTAAAATCGCTGGTCATAAATATAGATTTTAATTTGTTTGCTATCAATGACAGGCGATAGTTGTTGCAAAAACACCGAAAACGTTTCATAAAATTCAATCTTATAGATAGTGTAGAATAGAATACGTGATATCGAGTGGATTTCCCCTAAAGCGTCAAAGTCAGGCTCTATTTTGTTGCGCGAATGATTGCGAGGCAAGCAGCTGGTGCGGCAGCAGCAAACTTTTTGTGATTTACTTGCATTTTGGGATTTACAAAAACTGTTAAATTTCGAAACGTTATTTTTATTGCCAGAAAAAAATTTTTATTGGAAGAATAACACACATATGACAGAGACAAGATGCAGGTATAAAACTAAAAAAATAATTGGGAATTTAACAACTTATTTAACGAACAATACAAATGTATTTGGAAATATTGATGTCATAGCTGATGAGTGGTGAAAGAAAAGGATGTCTACAAAATATTTAAAAAAAATATTAGATCATAATTTTTAATATAAAATATGGTTTATATTTTTGATGATTTTATATTTTTTTTATTTATGTAAAAATATGTTTTGTTATATATATTTTTATTTATTTTTTATGTTTTATTTTATTTTTTTTTCAGCTTCAATAAGTGCCAGCAAAATAGAAACAAATCTCTCATTATTTTTAGTTTCTCTCTGAATCAAAATCCAAAACTGCTTGATTTTGTAGCGCCACCATGAGAAGACGACAAATTAGTAAGCCTTTAATTTTTTATTTATTTTTTTAATTTATTTTATTTTTATCATCACATTATTTGTTTATATATTCTTTATTTCTCCTCACCATGCATTATAAATTATTCATTATTCTGCTTTAATTTTATTTGTCAAACATTATGTTGTGTTATTCATCCTTTTCTGCTTTAACAATTACATTCATCATCGTCATCAGAGCCGCTCGTCATTATTTTTATTCATTCCGCATTTCATTCTGAACGATACGCATTTTTTTCATTACGCGGTTATTGAACATTACGGATTGAATGAAATTGGATTATTGATTCGATTCGAATCGAAAGTAAAGAAGCTACAGGGAATCCCGTCAAAGGTATGAATGTGTGTGGGCTGTGTATATGATGTGTTATGGGGAATATTTTTCGTTCTGGCTGGGATTTTATTATGGTTTTAAAATTGAACTGCAGATCTCTATATGTAGAGCACATTATAAGGTGAACACCCTATATGCACTTTCCATAGTCCTTAAAAATCGTTATTTTTAAAATCCACGCCTATGGATAGTCCTTAAAAATCGTTATTTTTAAAATCCACGCCTATGGATAGTCCTTAAAAATCGTTATTTTTAAAATCCACGCCTATGGATAGTCCTTAAAAATCGTTATTTTTAAAATCCACGCCTATGGATGGATAGTCCTTAAAAATCGTTATTTTTAAAATCCACGCCTATGGATGGATAGTCCTTAAAAATCGTTATTTTTAAATTCCACGCCTATGGATAGTCCTTAAAAATTGTTATTTTTAAAATCCACGCCTATAGATAGTCCTTAAAAATTGTTATTTTTAAAATCCACGACTATGGATAGTCCATAAAAATAATTATTTTTTATTATTATTTTTATGGACTATCCATAGTCATTTTTAAAATCCACGCCTATGGATAGTCCTTAAAAATCGTTATTTTTAAATTCCACGCCTATGGATAGTCCTTAAAAATTGTTATTTTTAAAATCCACGCCTATAGATAGTCCTTAAAAATTGTTATTTTTAAAATCCACGACTATGGATAGTCCATAAAAATAATTATTTTTTATTATTATTTTTATGGACTATCCATAGTCATTTTTAAAATCCACGCCTATGGATAGTCCTTAAAAATCGTTATTTTTAAAATCCACGCCTATGGATAGTCCTTAAAAATCGTTATTTTTAAAATCCACGCCTATGGATGGATAGTCCTTAAAAATCGTTATTTTTAAAATCCACGCCTATGGATGGATAGTCCTTAAAAATCGTTATTTTTAAAATCCACGCCTATGGATGGATAGTCCTTAAAAATCGTTATTTTTAAAATCCACGCCTATGGATAGTCCTTAAAAATCGTTATTTTTAAAATCCACGCCTATGGATAGTCCTTAAAAATCGTTATTTTTAAAATCACGCCTATATGGATAGTCCTTAAAAATCGTTATTTTTAAAATCCACGCCTATGGATAGTCCTTAAAAATATTTTTAAAATCCACGATAGTCCTTAAAAATCGTTACTTTTAAATTCCACGCCTATGGATAGTCCTTAAAAATCGTTATTTTTAAAATCCACGCCTATGGATGGATAGTCCTTAAAAATCGTTATTTTTAAAATCCACGCCTATGGATACTTACTTGCTTAGCTGGCTTATGGAACGAAACCATAAGCCGAGCTTAGAAAAGATTTCCAGGCGCGTCGGTCTTTTGCTCAGTTTTTCCAATTTGAAACACCATTTTCGGCGATGTTGTCTTCGACTTGATCTTTCCAACGTATTCTTGGCCTTCCTCTTCTGCATGAACCATCAGCTGGTTCACTTTTATATGCCTTTTGGGCTGAGACATATTCATCCATTCTCACAACATGACCTAGCCAACGTAGTCGCTGCAGTTCAATACGTCTAACAATGTCGATGTCCGAGAATAGCTGGTGCAACTCATGGTTCATTCGACGGCGATATTCACCGTCAACGCAGATCGGCCTATAGATCTTTCGGAGAATTTTTTCTCTCAAACCATCCAAGAGCTGCCTCATCTGCTTGAGTAAGTACCTATGCTTCAGATCCATATAACAGCACCGGTAGTATCAGCGTCTTGTAGAGTGTGAGTTTGGTCTGACGGAAGGGGGCCTTGCTTTTGAGTTGTTTGCTCAGACCATAGTAGCATCGGTTGGCCATCACTATCCGTCTCCAAATTTCAAAACTGATGTCATTCGTTTTATTTATGGCGGTACCAAGGTATATAAAATCTTTGACTACCTCGAAGCTGTAGTTTTCAGGTTCCACAGTTGATGCGAGTCTAATGGAAGTCTTGCGCCTTGATAAAATCAGCTTGGTCTTCACGCCGTTTACTGTCAGACCCACTTTGGCAGACTCCTTCTCAATTTGTTAAAAGGTGGCTGTTACCGCTCTCAATGTTCGACCCATTATGTCGATGTGATGTGGCGAGTAACATGTGTTGTTTGGTGTACTGAGTACCATTTCTGTTCACTTTTCCTCTCGTATGACCTTTTCCAGCAGGATGTTAAAAAGGTCATACGACGAACTGTCACCTTGTCTGAATCCTTAAAAGGTTCCGAGAGGCCCTTTCCGACTTTAACTGCTGATCTTGTGCCAGTTAAAGTTATGCTGCATAGCCGAATTAATTTTGCAGGAATGCCAAACGCAGACATGGCTTTCAACACCTCTGAACGAATAAGGCTGTCGAATGCGGCTTTATTGTCGACAAATAGGTGGAATGTGTCGATGTGTTTTTCGTGGGGTTTTTGCAGGATTTGGCATAGAGTGAACATCTGGCCAATGGTGGATTTGCCAGGTCTGAAGCCATTTTGGTATGGACCAATAATGTCATTGACAATTGGCTTCAGTCGTTCTCACAGTACGCTGGATAGCACTTTATATGCGATGGGAAGGAGACTTATTCCTCTATAGTTGGCGCATATCGTCTTGTCTCCACAGGATGCTGAGGTTCCAATCATTAGGCATGCATTCTTCTAGCCAAATTGCACTAATCAGCTGGTGCATGATCCCTACCAGCATCTGACCACCAGTCTTGAATAGTTCGGCTTGTAACCCATCGGCACCTGCTGCTTTATTATTCTTCAGCGGATTGATTGCTATTCTGACTTCATCTTGTCTAGGTGGTATACACTCTATACCGTCATCTATTATTGTTTCTGGGGTATCCACTTACCAGAAGTCCTTGAAAAAATATTCCTTAAAAATCCACGCCCATGGATAGTCCTTGAAAAAATATTCCTTAAAAATCCACGCCCATGGATAGTCCTTGAAAAAATATTCCTTAAAAATCCACGCCTATGGATAGTCCTTGAAAAAATATTCCTTAAAAATCCACGCCTATGGATAGTCCTTGAAAAAATATTCCTTAAAAATCCACGCCTATGGATAGTCCTTGAAAAAATATTCCTTAAAAATCCACGCCTATGGATAGTCCTTGAAAAAATATTCCTTAAAAATCCACGCCTATGGATAGTCCTTGAAAAAATATTCCTTAAAAATCCACGCCTATGGATAGTCCTTGAAAAAATATTCCTTAAAAATCCACGCCTATGGATAGTCCTTGAAAAAATATTCCTTAAAAATCAACGCCTATGGATAGTCCTTGAAAAAATATTCCTTAAAAATCCACGCCTATGGATAGTCCTTGAAAAAGTATTCCTTAAAATCCACGCCTATGGATAGTCCTTGAACAAAATATTTTTTTTTAATATTTTCAAATTCAATTAAATTGAAATTCAAATTACCTGTCATTGACCGATTAATGAACTACTATAAATGCAAATATATTAAAAATAAAATTTCAAGAACACACCTCCAAACATAATAGTGCTTGGCGAATTCCAAAAATAGAAAAAAATCCCCGCACTTGACCGATAAATACTAACAACAACAACAAAAACTTTACGTGCAAATTTGTATTTTTTGTAAAGTTCAAATATTGCGTGTAAAATTATTGGCCTTCTTCGATTTGCAAAAAAAAAAACACTTTGTAATAACAACAACAACAAGTAGGCCCACATGTACAACAAAAAATCCCGCACAAATAACTATGCGAATATTTATGGCATTTAATTTGAGTAATTATCGCGCAAACATTTCATTACATGATGGTTAGAGGCGGTTCGGCCACCTACCTTTTATGGGGGGCCAATGTGAGAAAAATATGTTGTTTTTGTTGTTATGTTATGCCTATTTACGCACGACCCCTGCAAATAACTTCGAAGTGCTGCCAAATGTTGTACAAACAATAGAATTGGCCACTGTAGAACGAGTAGATCGAAATATTATCGGGGAATGTCAATCAAAATTGTGCGGCAAGGAAATGTCACTGATTAGCAAAAAAAAAAAAAAAATATGACGCGCCCATTTGACATTCATTTCTTATCGATATGTGTAAGTAGGCTTTTCAATAGCTGTTCGATTTCATTATTATCGGATTGAAGAGATTAACCAAATGGCTTCCGCAATCAAGTTAGCCAATGGTGGCCTTATGTAGGATTTAGATCTACTATAGGTATACAACGACTTAAGTTCATCACCACGAATAGTAATTTGGTAGGAAAATTCCTACCCCAGAAGGAAAAAATCGTCATAAGTCAAAGTTCGAAGAGTTGGCGTGATCAGTTTTTTGCTGTCGACCCTATTTATTATACATGGAGAAATAGCTTCGTACCTTAATTTCCAGCTATTGTGTGTATTTTTTGAGATTACATTTCTTCAGTAATATCGAATGAGGAATTATTTTGTAGAATATTTCGTCCTTCTAACTCGAATCCTTATGTGTCCTTTTCATCTTTAATTTATTGAACCGGACTATAATTATTATAAGATGTGATTTTTCATCCTCGCAATATTCTACAAAAATGTTGCCCATACGATTTTATGTGGGGTCCTCAAAGACGAGAAATCGATATTTAAACGTTTCAATGGCCTTTACTCGATTTTACCCGTATCATGATACTAAAACCCTATTTGTAT